TAATGCAGCACACCTGACCAATCAGATCTGAGCATTCATCCATGCTGTGGTATAAAATGGAATCTACTGAGAGGAAAGAAGAAACACCAATTAACTGCTTAACTAAGAACTTCTAACTCTCAGAGGAAAGTTGATCAAAGGAACAGTGTGTGTGTGTGTGTGTGTGTGTGTGTGTGTGTGTGTGTGTGTGTGTGTGTGTGTGTGAGGGAGGGAGAGAGAGAGAGAGAGAGAGAGAAGGGATGCTATGTGTGTATGCTGTAGTATATACAACTGGCATTTGGCTCATTTAACTAACTGGGCACTTTCTACAGTCATTTAGTAGTCATTATTCTACAGTCATCTTTTCAGCAACTGTTGGTATCTGAGTTTTCTTTTCAAACCCTGTGCCCGCCCTATTTTCCCAGGCCCAGCCTGTTTTTCCAGTGCCCACCCTATTTCCCCCCAGGCCCACCCTGTTTTCCCCCAGGCCCACCTTGTTTTCCCCCAGGCCCACCTTGTTTTCCCCCAGTGCCCACCCTGTTTTCTCCAAGGCCACCCTGTTTTCCCCAGGCTCGCCCTGTTTTCCTGTTGCCACCCTGTTTCCCCCAGGCCCAACCTGTTTCCCCGTGCCCACCATGTTTTCCCAGTGGCCACCCTGTTATCCCCAGGCCCACCCACTGATCAGTTTCTGGCCTCGCCACTGCTCTGTACGCCAGATTCTGCGTGCTGAGTTTTAAAACGCGCCTCCAGTGCAGCAGGTGGCAGTAGCGCAGCTCTATTCTGTTTATCAAGCGACATGAAAAAGGGGCGAAAGAGATGTTAACGCCGAAGTAGCTTTCGAAACTCTTTTTATTTTATAAAGCACAAACGAATTATAAGTTTACTCCCTGTGTGTAAAAATGCCTTCAGATTTGGAGAAATGTCCGAGGAGGATATTAGTCTGTGAAAAGTCCAACTTCTTGAATGAAGCATCACGTCATGAAGCGCACGTGTCTAAACACAGCTTCAACTATAAGGTGAGCTTAGACAACACTGCTGCTGTTAGGGCTGTTTAGCAGCACTGAACGGTTCTTTCCGTTTGGTTGACATGATGGTAGGTTAAATGTGTTTGCATGGAGGATAACATTCTTCGCTCAAGACTTAGGAATGAAAATATTTCCAGAAAACTCACGAGCTCTAAATACAGCTGGCTGAGTAGTTTTCATAACACTGAGTCATTGGAGTAAATTGTTGAAAACAGCATCCATTAAATCATTAAATCCATGTCTGAATTACAGCTTAGGTTTGTATAGAATATGCTAATTTAATGTTCTTGCTTCCGTTTATAGGACAATGTTATTTATACATTCCAGACTTGCTGCATTTTTCTAAAATATATTTAAGCAGATAAAAATAGTATAAAATTCAGTGTAAAACGAAACCTTTGTCATTTTGTCAGTCCAGTGCTTCATGATGATGATGCCTTTCTAGGGAACTGTTCCCTTTTATTTATATATGTATATATATAATGTACACACTGCCCGGCCAAAAAAAGTCGCCGTTTAGATTTTAATAGGCAAATACATAAGAGTCTGTGAATGGATCATTATTAGAGTGATTATAATGTTTCTAGCATGTTATATGTTTGGCAACAGTTCTTTTAATCTTAAAAGATGAAGTGTGTCGCTTTTTAGTTCTTTAATCACAACATTTATTTCCATCAAGCGGTGCATCAGTTTGTAGTCAAGATCTTGTATTGACAATGAAAGAGGTGAGCACTGTGTAAAGTCTCCTCCAGCACATCCCAAAGACTTTCACTGAGGTTAAGCTCAGGATTCATGTGTGAAAATTATTCTTTATGCAGTTGTATAAATACTGGGTGCAAGGTGGGAATACAGCATGGATGGGATACCCGTCTATTGCAAGATGCAATGCACACACACATACACAATCACACCACTGGCATGCTTTTGGGAGAAGGGAGGAAACTGGAGAACCCGGAGGAAACCTACACAGACATGGGGGGTAACATGCACTGAAAGGCCACCCAGACAGTAACCTGAGCTCAGGATTGAACTGGGGATCCTGAAACTGTGAGGCGCCAATGCTGCTGTGCCCCTAAATCATCATGAGCAATTAAAAATATTTTTCACCAAAAATGTTGAGCTTTAAACTCGGTGATCTCTGACTCCTTACTGGAGAATCACTGCAGTACAGATTCACTTCAACAGACTGAGTGAATGTCTGTCCCAGGCAACCAAACTCTTTGCCCCAGCTGTTAACTAGATGTGGCTCTTTGACTCTTTGTATATTACGTATAACAAAAAAAAAAAAACCAGGTTTGTTTGGGCACACTTTTCATGTAGTACGCTTTGTATTTAAATGTTTTGATTCACAGATTTCTTTACTGATACCTGAATGTGGAGTACTGCCTGCTGAGATGGCAAAAGTTATTAGTAATTTCAGTTCATATTACATTGTTCGGGATCTACCAGTATACAGATTCCTGGAAGAGGAGATGCTTGAAATAGTTAAGAAAGGTAAAAGCAAAGACTGCATTCTTTTATCACAGTGTTAGTTGTTTGCTTCGTTTTGGTTCTGTCCTGAATGTTTTTCATTTTATTTTCACAGGCTGTTTTTATGCACTCTCCTACAAAACTCGACTTGATGAAGACAATGTTATTGCTTTTTTGAGCGGTAAGTGTGATTTAAAACATGTCTAGTAATTGTCTCAAAATTACTTTGAAAGAATCAGGATGGTATTTTGCTTATGATTTACTTGAGTATCAATTGAAATCCCTCACTCAAGCCACTTTTTTTTTTTTTTTTTTTTTTTTAAAAAGGAGAATTAGGCAAGATTTTTTTTTCCCCCACAAACAGATTTTCACATACATACATCAAATAATTTTGTGTCATTATATCATAAACACTGTTCTCTCTCTCTCTCTCTCTCTCTCACACACACTCACACACACACACACACACACATATACATATATATATATATATATATCTATATCTATATATATATATATATATATATATATATATATATATATGACAAGCATATTTTCCATAGTAGGAACAAGTTATGGGCAGTTATTGATAATTACTGAAGGTTATAAATGGGAAATTTATTTTTTTAAACTGACAATTGGAAACAAAACTAACATTTTTCCCTTCATGCCTGGTCATAAATGGTGATCTAATATGGGAAATACCAGATTTACCAAAGTAAATTATGTAATTAAAGTTTGACCCTTGAACTCTGTTCGGTGTTGGACAGGTGCACGATGTAGTGATTCTTTTTTTTTTTTTTCCCTCAGGAAAGTTAATCTTGTCTCTTGATAAGGACACGTATGAGCAGCTTGGCTTGGAGGGAAAACCTTCGCTATACAATCACAGAAAGCCCATGAGATATGGTGAAAAGTTTTATCAGCTTCTAACTAAATAGACAGTAACTCCAAATCTATCTAAATCTGATAGTTTCATGTACATTTTTTGCGTTTTACTTTTCTACACTTGCAGTTGTAACTGTGGACCTCACTGATAAAGCTTTGGTTCCCGGTGCAAAGCGATACCAGCAAGTTCTGCTAAGTTTGAAAGAAAGAGTGCCGCTGAGAAGTGACTTTCTTTTAACAGATTGCCATTCAGGTTTGTCTTGGAGATCTTTGAAAGATTTTATTGATTCAAGTGATTTGCTTTTGATTGTGATGAAAATCTATATATTTCCTCTTTTAGTGGTATTTTCAGTTCTGTTCACACTTTTCTTCACAAAAACTACATTTGTAGTTTTTGATAAAAATGTTCACCTAATTGCTACTCCTTCCACTCAACCTCCAGCTGAGATGAGATTTCATTTAAAATCTTACTTTCAGTTAGGGTAGAACTTTGTGAACTGGACACCAAAATCATTTTTCAGTTCCACATTCACATAAGACTGTGTTTGGTCTCACTTTAGGAATTAAGCTGTTGACCTTCTCTGAGACTCTCCTCTGAGAGAGGAGTTATGCTTTTGTGATTTGTTGCCTATTGTATGAATTAATACATATGTTATATGTAACACACATTTGTTTTAAAGATGACTGCAACTGGTACTAAATGTAACACCTAAAGTACTGACACAAATGTATAGGAATAAGCATTTCATGCTTATTCATCTAACTTTTTTGTGGCCTTGATTAAAGGTTTGTGCCTGCTTGTCCCTTAATTCACCTCAGAACTTGGGATTGAAGGACATATATTTTTAATTATTTTAATTGCTATAAATCACTTTCTGTGCATGTTTGTTATTTAAGATTGTCTTGTACAGGACTACTAAATGTCCTCTCGTGCCTGCAAGCTGTGGAAGCCCCACCTTAAGACCCAGGACAGAGCACAGTTTTCTACAGATTGCAGTGAATTTAGTTTAGAATTTTAGTATTGTGTTTATTTGTTCCTTGTAATGTTTTGTGAGTTTTTAATTTTGTTTGTTTTTCTCCTGGGTTTAGTAATTGTCATTTCCCTCCCACTAGCTAGTTCTCCCCCATTACACAACAGCTAGCAGGTGTTTCCTCTGAGACACATGAGGCCAACCACAGCATGTTTTCAAACTGCTGCTCATGCTTTGTCATGAACAAACTTGGAGGAAAGTGCTAACTACCCTTTTCAATATGCATGAGCTCACAGACACCGTGATCAATTAGTGACACTCTGATTAACGGGAGAGAGTAATTACATTTCTCCTACCCAGAGAGCACAGGAGGTTTTGCTCTCTCCATGGTTGGCTGTGTCTCATCGTTACTTGAGCTTGTGATCTCCCAATGATAGGGCGAAGGCTTTATTTTTTTTCAATATTTACATGTGGCGTGCCACGTTGTGTTGCCGCCTCACAGCTCCAGGGTCCTGGGTGCGAATCTGAGCTCAATTTACTGTCTGCGTGAAGTTTCACATATTCTCCCCTTGTCTGCGTTGGTGTTTTTCAGGGGTCTCTGTTCCTGCCACTGCCCAAAAACACGCTAGCAGGTGGATTGCTCTCTGCCCCTGGGTTTAAATTAGCGTGTGGCAGTGGTAGCTCTGTGGTTACGACATTGGACTACTGATCGGAAGGTCATGAGTTTGAACCCCAGCACCGCCAAGCTGCCACTGTTTGGCGCTTGAGCACGGTCCTTTACCCTCAACTGCTTAGATTTATAAACGAGATACTGATGAGATTACATACTGTTTCATGATTGTTTCAAGTACACATAAAGTGCAGTTAGCGTATCAAAGGTACTATATAAATAGAACAATATTAGTCATAATATTATTGATGCCCTGCTATGTTAGTGTTCACTTGAAGCTTCTTTGCCATTGCTTAGTGATTGTATGTATGTTTAAGACAATGTTTTCTGTGTGTGCGCTAATCTGTGTCATTCTCATGCTCAGACCGAGATGGACGTCTGAAGGTTCTCATGTCTCAGTACACATACGAGAAGTGTAGACCTACTCTTAGTACCCACAATCTGAGAGATCTGTCGTGCCCATCACTTCAGTCCTCAGATCTTCAGGGAAAGAGGCTTTCATGCACCCCAGAGCACTTCTTGGAGTGGCTGGGGGCAGTCAACCTGAATATCAGTTGGTGAGTATTCTGTGGAATTATTTGTTGAATATATCATTCCTTCTGTTGGGCAGATGGTGTTATTGATGTTGTTGCAGTGAAAACTCAGCTACAAGTTTCCTGTCCACGTATGCGTGTCCGGAACCGTGCAGTTCTGTGAGCCAGGCCCTTCTTTGCACAGTAACTGGATTCATCCCTCCTGAAGACATCTCTGCACTACTACAAGAGCTTAGGTAAGTTCACTTGCTTTAGCAGTAAATTTCTCTGTTGTGTCATTTTGTGTCCAAAAGAAAGGAATACCTTTAATGAATAAAAATAATGACGTGAAACAATCTCAATCTCTCTGATCATGCAGAAGGTATTTTGATGCGCCAAAGTTTGCAGTCTGGGTCTCCCTCACTGTGCATGGCTTTGTGGATAGTCCTGTGTGCTGGGGAACGACAGAACATGGCTTCCTTAAAGGGGGAGAAAACTTCTACAATTTTGTTTGCTTCAAGAACCAGGATTACTGGTTGCACATGGCAACTGGTGCACATGATGGCTGTCCCCCTTGATGAACTATATCTGGATTGGAGAAAGATGTTATATTTTCACTCTGCTACTTAACATTTGTGGCATATGGAAATTATGCCCTGAAGACCTTTTTATATGAATGGAAATGAGATTTTTGTTAAATATGATTATTTTATCTTATTATTTGAACAAAAATAAATAGTAACATCTTGCTAACAGAACACATTATTGATAAAAACGTTAAGTTCTTTTGAACAGTAATAAATTCAGCACAATACTGCAAACTACAAGGTTTATTTGTCTCATGATTTGGATATGATGTAAATGTTGTTTTACGGTGCATTCGCATTGTGGCAAATGAAGCATTTACCATCCCCCTTCTCTGTAAGTATTGTAGAGCAGTTCAAAGCAGGCAATGAGAGCAGGAAAAAGGTTTCATTTTTCAACATTATGCAAACAAGAAATAAATATTACTCAGTGGTGGGTTTGACAAGTTCTCGCTGTGTGTCATGCTTAAGGTCAAGCCACATGATGAAATCAGAGCAGTACAAGATGGAAGGAAATTAATAATGGCTGGATCAGGTTTTCCGTCTGCATCCTCTACAAACTCTACATGCTTCTGAAATAGTGGGGGGAAAAAATGAATGAGGCGTGAAAGAGGATGAAACACTAAGAAAGTTTTTAATGTAATAGATATCACTGTATGTTCTGCGTAGTGGAAACACTTTTTCTTGCTTGCTCAGGATCAGGGTTTTGTAGATGTCTGAATTCCTAATTCACCTGGTAAAATGAATGAGCTACAATAGCATTCCCCTAATCACAGCCATTCATATTTTTCACCTAGTTCCAGAATGAAGGGTCGTGTAAGTGTTTAGTGCAGTGCAGTTCAGAGCACTAGGCCAAGCAGGGAAAATACTGCATGAATTAAGAACCACACTGATTACTAACACACACTGAGAGGTCACACCTGTGCTCTATCAGTTACACTGGTTACCAGTCTCTTGCCACATTCCATATAAGCTAATATATTCCGTATAAGTGACCAACAGTCACTGTAAGTCATTCCTTTTGTCATTTCCTGTTACAGTTGTATAGAGCAGTTTTCTGTGTTGTTTATTTACCTGAAATATTTCACATATTTCTTTACATTTGGGTAGAAATGAGTTTGAGAATTCATTACAGTAAAGTTCATATGCACAAATGTTTTTTTTTTATGCTAGCTTTCCATTTGAGTGTGACAAATGTGATATTTTGCAGAAGTGACATCAGCTATTTGATATTAGTATATAATATTGACAAAGTTTGTGTGCAATGTGGGCAAGCAAATGTGGGTTAATGTGGAGAAAAAGAGAAAATGTTACAGTAGAATTCTATGAGTACGACCTCTGCTTAAGCCCTACCAAGGTGTCATGCCTCTGGTCTGTGTGCTGGTGCCAATATTTGCATTGCTGTCCATGGTGCTGTTCAGGGCTGAGGTGGTGCTTCTATTTGAGGTCCAGCATCACAGTATATAATTTCTCATTCCATTTCATATACAGTTTTTTGTTTTGTAATATTACAGGAAATCAGTTCTATTCAGAAACGATTCCACAGAGCACTGCCATAGAAGATGGCTGATACGATTTGTTTGCTGTTCTTGCAACAGTTAGGACAAAAATATAAAGTACAGGCTAATATTTTAAAGATTAAATATGACAATATTCAGAGTAATGAGTAATTCTAGACAACTAGGTCTACGAGTGGATCACACCTAGGAATGATTCAGTTCTCTCCGTTTAGACAGCCAGGCTGGCCAGCTTATATTGTTGGGGGATATTGGTGATCACACATTTAATCTTCATGTACACTATGTTGCCAAAAGTATGTGGACACCTAACCATCACATCCATATGTGGTTCTTCCCCAAACTGTTGCCACAAAGTTGGAAGCACACAATTGTATAGAATGTCTAGAATGTCAAAATAAAACTTTTTGGTTTAAATGAAAAGCATTATGTTTGGCGAAAACCAAACACTGCATTCCAACATAAGAACCTCATAACAATCGTGAAGAATGGGGGTGGCAATATCATGATTTGGGGCTGCTTTGCTGCCTTCGGTTCAGGACAGCTTGACATTGTTGATGGGCCTATGAATTCTGGGTATCTGTCTGTGAACTGAAGCTTAACTGTAAGTGGGGTCATGCAGCAGGACAGCAGGGCAATGACCCTAAGCACACAAGTAAGCCTCCAAAGAAGCAGAAGAAATTTAACATTTTGTAAAGGCCATGTCAAAATCCAGACCTTAACCCAATAGAAATAATGTGGAAGGACCTAAAAAGAGCAGTTCCAAGGAACCAAGGAAGAGCAAGGAACCAACATCACTGAGTTGAAATAGTTTTGTAAGGAGGGATGGGCCAAAATTCCTACAACCTTTTGTGCAGGATTGATCACCAGTTACTGAAAACATTTTGTTGAAGTTATTACTGCATAAGGGGGTTACACCAGTTACTGAAAGCAAAGGTTCACATACTCCATCTGACAAAAATATTTAATATTGGGTCATTTTGCTCAATAAATGTAAAAACTATCATGTTTTTGCATCATTTGTTTAATTGGGTTCTCTTTATCTAGTTTTAGGACTGCAGATCTGATCACAGGTCAGATTTATGCAGAAATACAGAAAATTATAAAGGGTTCACAAACTTTCAAGCAGTATGTTTGCTGTTCTTGTTGGGTAAGTTTTGATCAGGGTTTTTGATCATGTGCAAAACAGACATACGCCTAATCAGTTCAGCTTGTCATCTGATACCATCTGTCATGCACCTGTACCACAGTTAAGCCAAAATTGAATCTTTAAATGCAATTTTCCCCCGTTTCACTTTTATTGTTTCTATAGTAAGAGCTCATACACAGGCTTGTATGATGGACATTCCACATAATCTAAGACTAATAATAAACATTAAAGAAACATTTTGCTTAACAAAGAAAAACATACATAGTTGATGTGGTGACAGTCTTTGTTAAGAGATTTATAGAAGGAGTCGAAAAGTGAAAGTGTCAGTGCTTTGTAAAGCTTTCCAGCATCGGAAAGTCTTCATGACAGGAATTTACACTTCCTGTTTTCTCAGTAAAATCACAAGCTGCATTTTTTGAGAGAGTGAGCGTTATATTTATTTTCATTAATAAATTAAACATTGTAACCATTGGCAAATTACTTTGGTATAAATGGAATAACACTGTAGATCATGCAGTTATATGAAATTAATCCACTCTGCGCCATATCACACCACCTCAGCATGGATTATTTTCATATAACTGCATGGTTTGATGTGTGTTACTCCTTACATAACTTCAATTGTGGTTGAGATATGTGCAAAAGAGATACACATTTCAGTTCAGGAACACCTGTAGTTTTAGAACTCTATATACAGTAGAAGAAAATCTCAAAATCAAAATCTCATTGAGATCTACATACAGTATACCTGCATATAGATTCGGAACCCACTTAAAAGTAAATGGAATCTTGGTCAAATACTCTGCTAATCAACTGTTAATCACCAAGAAAAAAAAAAAAAAAAAAAAAGTACCATGGTGTCATGCAAAGTGCATATTTTTAAAAGAGCTGGAGAAGTACAGGGCGAGGAGGGGACAGTGATTCTTGTGTCGGTTCTCCCAGCTGGAGTATGATGACCAAAATCATGAAGGAATCCTTGCAATTAAGTACACCATCATCTTGATGTTATGATAAATGGGAGACTGATTCTTGAGAAAGTAGTACAGAAATGTAGCTGCCTGTATCTGTTGAAAGTGAAGAAGTGGAAGTAAGAATCTTGATAGACCTACATAAGCGTAAAAGTAAAAACATTTTACTTACACATCTGATAATTTATCGCCTTAAAAACCTCCAACCTACTGATGTGGATGTGAAATCAATTACAGTTCTTCCCAGAAACACCTTTTAGGATACTGCATGTTGCATGGGCTTGAGTTTTGGGTTTGGACATTGGGAAAATATTGACTTACTATACCTTAATATGGTAAGTTA